AACCACTCAGGTGCTTTCAGATTTCAGTCTCAGGCAGTGGACATAGGGAATCTCTGGCCAGCTGTGAGCTAGACATACTAGTTCCCGGAACAGTGCTGGACCCTAATGGAGAATTCTTTCTGCCCTAGTCCTTTGTCCTTCTAATTGAACTGAGGGTGTCCTCTTCACCATCTCCCTGAGAATTGCTGTGCTTTTTATTGAGAGCACTTGCCTGCTGACTTAGCTCGAAAGCCAGAACCTTTCCCTAAGACTGGAGAGAGAAAGTGTTTGGAGCAATGTCCAGTCTAAGAGATGATTCCTTGTTAACTGCTGAGTATCTGTTACTGCTGCCCCGAGCTGGGGCCCAAGGGCTGGGAAATCTATTGGTGCTACCCTGCCCTACCATTCACCCAGCTCAACTGCCAACAGGAAGTGCTGTTTGGCTAGTTCCTTGCCACCCACCCACTCTTCCTTTGTCCCTAAAACAGACAAATCTCCCTGCTTTGCCAGTTTAGCCAGCAGCTTTAGCCAATAGGCCACCTCCTGGCCCAAATGTCTCCTGGCCACTGTGTGTCACGGTTACAGCTTTTACATTCTCAACAGGATTCTGTATATTGTCCCAATTTCCTCCTAAGTTCCTGCTAAGGTTACATCCCTTCCAAGGGGAAGGAACAATAGTTGTTATAGAAGCATTTGTGCTTTATATAAAGGTTGAAAATAGAAAATGCTTTTATTTCCCAAAGTCTATCTGAGGGGTTGACAAACGTGAACTCAGGCAGAGGGATGAGGCTGGGCAGGGCTGTCCTGAGTTAGAGGCCATCCCTGCATTTTACTGAGACCTCAGAGTCTCTTCTGTGATTTCCACCTGCCTAGTTCTTCTGTTTCACCCTTTTGTCTTCTCTTCCCACATCATCAGAGAAGGAAAAGCTGTTTGTTCAAAAGGAAGAGAAAAATATAAAGCATCTTATTTTCTTTTAAAAGAATTATAAACCCTGAAAAAGATATTTTTAAAGAAATTCACCCAGAACATTAAAGTTCACTATATTAAGTATTTATCATGTGTGGAATAATAAGTGTATAACTGCAGCTAGTAGGCCCCTTTCCTAACCTCTTAGGTTGTGAGTAGGTTGCTTGGTGCCAGTCCTGTGCCCTTTGCTCTCCTGTCATCTGTAGTTGTGATCAAAAAAAAATTATCTGCACTGCACTGTCAGAATCTCCTTTCACTATGTTGTGTGTTCAATTACCTTATTAGCTTTGTTTCATGAAATAAACTGTGAATTTTTTTGGGGGGTGGGCATGCAGGCTATGTAAAGAGTTGACTCTGAACTAGCTTTTCTGTAGTAGGCTGTGATAGGTGATTGACTTTGACAGCCATCTAGAAATGTCTCACAGGACAGGAGGGAGTAAGGGATAGGAGGCTGTGATTGGCCACTTTGTGGTTTTGGTTTGGTTCTTTTCATCCTCTACCATTCACTGGAGGCTTTGTTCCAGACCTGCCTAGAAAAACTTCTGACCTCTGTACTTGGCTTTGGGGAACAGTTCTTTGAATGGAATGACAGCCGGGCTTCTCTCCAGAACCACTGACTCAGGTTGTTGAATGGAAACTAGAAAGTCAAGCCATTGAGCCCACTGATGGCATGGAAGCACTCATTATCCAGTTAGAAGCAGTCAGCGTAACTGCTGGGAAATGACTCACATATGAAGGTGGGGAGAGGGTGACCTAGCAGCCGTTTTGGACTTCTGAAGCCTGCAATGAGACCTTTTCTTCTAGGGGGTGTGAACTGGCAGTAAATCTTTTTATCTTCTGATAATTGTGCAGGATGGTATTTTGTTGTTTGATATTTGGCTCATTACTTGGAAATTAAGTTCTCAAGAGAGTCTGCTTATGAGCCAGTTTCCCAGGAAGCCTTGAGGGGCAAGTCAAAGATGGAAATGCTTCATAGGTAGCTAGAAAACTAATACCTCTCTGAGTCCTGTTAAGTCAGAAAAAAAATATGGAAACTGTTGAGATTTCTATTTGAAGTTTCATGTTTCTCCTGCAGGAACCAACTCATTGTAATAGAAAATAGCTGTCATTACCACAAAAGCATCCATGTTTTTAAGATGTCTGCTTTTCTCTAAAGTTACTGAGTTTGAGATCACTTAAATCACTGTTGATCCTCTTCTGAGCCAAATTCACCTCTTTGGCATTGATGAAAAGAATTATTCTTCACATCCTACACCCGACACTGTGGTCAGGGTATGACCACTACTAGCAGCCCTTCCTGGTTTGTCACCACCTGCTCATGAAGCTGGAGTCTGATGTTATCTTGTAAGAACTGAAGGGCAGGGAAGAGCACTGGTCCTCGTGGGAAACAATCAAGAGAGCACTAAATCCGGTAGGTTTTACTAGCAGCTGCCATAGAGCAGGTTTTTCTGCTAAGGCTTGGGATATTGTTAACCTGTTCGTATGTCACCAGGTCAGAGGGCCCAGTGGCCTAACCTCCAAGACCATGGCAGGAAAGGCATAGCCTCAGTCCTTTTTCCTGCTGAGTAACATTTGACCTGTCTCATGTGTTAAGACATTCCACATCATTTAGAGCTAGGTAGCTGCTGTGGGAGCTTCTCTTGCGTGTGGCCATTTAGCTCTCAGCTGAGTGTCCTAGGCCACTATGGCAGGGCCAGAGGTTGCAGTAGTGTAAATTGAAATATGAATAGGTTTGTACACACACACACACACAAATGTAACGATGGTGCTAATTTCATTATATAAATAAGCACTGCCAAGGCTTGAGGGACTGGTGACTTGAGAAACTTGGGTTCCTATTTGGGGGAGAAGAGGTTTTATGTAAGAAAGGTTTCTTTGAGGCCCTATGAAAAATAGGGAAAAGGCAGAACCTCAGTGAAGCCTGTACCCAACCCTGGAGTGGTCCCATGCAATCCAACATGGAAGAGATCCTGTAACTAGTTGAAGGTGGTAACCAAGTTTCTCAGGGCTTGGGTCACTTTGTCTATAGTGTTTGTCCACACCACCAGCATAGGCTGGTAGAGAGCTCTGGGTCTCCTCCATTACCTTCTGCCCCTCTACCTCTTCTCTCATGGAAGCATCTCTATTGCTTACAAAGATTAAGGGTAATATTTCTTAAGGAAATAGAAAGTTTATTTTACTTAGAAGTCTACAGACTCAGAAGAAATGTGTTTATTGCCAGCATAAGCAGAACAGCACATACTAAACTCTTCTGTAGTCCTTTCGCTAGAGTTGCCTTCTGATGACTCTTTAACAGTATCAGGCTATGAGGGGCTGTGGGATACCACCTGGGGCTTCAGCACAGCTCTGGACAGAAGCAGAAACTAATTTTGTCCTGGTATATTAGGCTTCCAGGGTGGATGGGGCAAGCAATCTCCATTTGAGGTGGTGCAGCCTGTGTGTGTATGTTAGGTGAGTGTGGAAGGTGGTGAGTGCCGCACACAGGAGCTCATGGAAGAGCAGCTTTCCAGGTCTTGGCAAAGAAACAAGCTGACACAGAGATCTGTTTTTATATTTTTAAGAAAGGGGAGGGGCAGGGGATCCAGCCAAGGCCCATCACTGTTGTCCCCCTGCCCCTACAGACTGTCAGCTGGAAGTGAAACTCCTAGTGAAAAAGGGGAACCCTGTGCTAGGAGTCCCCATAAACATGTACTGTAATTCTTTGTATATATAAAAAAAAATACTGTAAAGTAAAGTTTAACTTTACTCTTATGGCCCTTGCCCTGTGTTTTTTTTAATATTGTCCGTGGGAAGGTATAACCTAACAAGACAGATTGGGTTTGGAGTGAGAGTCACAAAACCCCTGGGATAGTTCCCTGTGGGGGGTCATAGCAGAGCTAAGTCCTTCTTCCAAGTACTCTGTGGAAGAGACATTAGTTTCCTCCCAGGTGCCACAGCTGCCTAAGCATCCTAGCCTCTTGCGAGTGCCTGGTGTCAGTATCAGTCTCTTTCACAGGATGCTTCTGTCACTCAAGAAGGAAGAGTATTTTGAGGAATTGGTTTGAAAAAGAGAAGAGGAACCAAAACACTTTGAGTGTTAGTCTGACAATGTTTACTTCAGAGGCAGGAAAGCTGGGGCAAAGGACAAGGTGAAAGATGAGGCCCCTATACCATAAAAGGAACCTTTATGGTTGAACAGGAAGCACTAGCCCTGTTTATAGTAACATCTGAACCTTCAGAAATACTGGGACCTTGAAGGCCTAATATTTTGGGGGAACCTTAGGAGTACATCCCCCTTATGCCCCAAACTGCTCTTTCAGCAGAAAGCCTTCAGGGGAAGAGTATGGTAAAGGCATTTAGTACTGGTTACTCTTCACTTGGGTGGAGTTTTTTTCAGTGCTGGAGATGGAACATCTTAAGGAAGTGCTGATCCTTCCCTCTCAAGATGGGGTCTGAGTTGCCCAGTCTGACCTTGGACTTGCAATCTTGCCTCAGCCTCCTCAGAAGCACACATACATGTGCCACCACACTTGGCTCACTTAGGATCTTGACAATCCTGAGGTATTAATAAACTCATCTTTTATAGATAGGTAACTCAAGTGTTTTAAGTCCTTTTCCTGTATTAGTAGCTGAACTAGATCTGAATGTGGGTCTGTAAGATCATCCCATTGCAAAAATCTATTTTCCCTAACATTAAACCACATTGTTGATGTCACTGAGAAGCTCAGATCTGGGTCGTGGGCCAGACCAACCTGTCTTAAAGCAGGAATGTCTGGCCCTTTTTATTTCTGGGCACAATTGAAGTACTCTAGCTTTTCTCTGCACCTAGAAGGAATTGTAAGCTTTGCACTGCCCTATCCCCAACCTCTCACTTTCTCTGGCCCTACAAAAGAAAAGGGCTGGGAGGTATAGCTCAGGGATAGAGCTATACCTAGCAGACACAAGGCCCTGGATTCCACCCCAGCACCACAAAATAAAGCCCATTGTTTCTCCAATATCTCAGAAGAGGCCAGCCACAAAGTCCCAGAACTTGGTACCTTGGCACCCAGTCCACACAGCAGGGAAAGGGGCTGAGTGTAATTCGTAGTGCATTGATTTTATTTACAGATCAGAAGACACTTAACCTATAGACAAAGTGCTGTCTGGGACTGAAATCAGCCTTTAGCCCTCCTAATGCCCAGAGTCAACCCAGTACTGCCTCCATTCCATGGGCCAGCACAGGCAGTGGCACCTCTGGGGACCTGGGGTAGCTCAGACATTTGACCACCCAATCCCAGACAAGAGCTGTATCCAGCCCTCTGGGAATTCCTTTAATTCCCCGGGGTCAGGTGAGTGGTGACTCAGTGATGACAACAGCTGTAGAAGTAGGGGTTTGCCTTCTGGCCCAGGTCCACGCCCTTGTCCTCTGTCACAGAGAGAGGTGGCAGCTCAGCACCAGTGTGTTGGGATCAGGTAACTCAAGGGGGTCTGGAGGCCATGAGCTTACAAGAAGTCTGTAAAGGCTGGGAAAGCACACACCTGTCATCACCTGGAAGGCAGCCACACTGACGTAATCATCTGCCACTTTCTGGAAGAGCTCGTCTGGCAGGAAAAAGATGATCAGTGAGGGCCTGATGCCAGGAGCCCTGAGATCTCCCAGTGACCCAGCCCTCTGGGCTCTCCTGCTTCCTTTGCTGCCTCTGTTCCTACTGTAAGGCCTCAGGGCAACACTCACCCACACTCTGGCCTGTCTTGCTGGATGTTTCAAAGAGCCTCGCTTTGATATCTGCAAAGAAAAATGACTAAGGCTTCATACTTGGGATCAGGTCAACAAAGCGAAGGAATGTCCTGGACTCCACAGGTTCAGGAATACCAGAAAACCCTCTTAGCACACCTTGCCTTGCAAACCCCAATTTCCTGAAACCCACCCAGGCAACCCCCAACCCCCACCCCTTGCCCTGGGTTGAGGTGTAGCTACTGTCTGCATAGTCCTGCACATCGTGGAAGTCCACACGTCTACGCCGCCGGTCTTCCTCCAGCAGGTCACTCTTGGTGCCACACAGGTAGATTTGACAGGCCTGGGGCAAAGCACAAGGCTAAGATCATCCTTACAAAACCATAGACGACCCCTCACCACCATGTGAGGAAGGTCTGACCACCTACCTCCTCTAGGCTCCGAAGCTCCTTTACCCAGAACTTTGCTCTCTCAAAGCTGCTACTGTCTGTGAGGTCTTGGTATGTGATATGGAGGAGACAACCAAGGATCAGGGGCTGTTCTCTGAGGTGGACTGGCACCCACCTCTTGGTCGAAGAACAGGCAAAAACTCCACCTTACCATAGCAGACGATGGCAGCCTTGGCACCCCTATAGTATATTCTGCTCATGGCCTCATAGCGCTCAGAGCCTGCAGTGTCCTGAAAGGCAGGGAGAGGTTTAGCCTTGGTTGGCCTAAATTATTGGGCTACTTCTCAAGACTGCAAATTAAGACTATGTTCTCCAGACTCCCATTTTCCAGATAAGAAATGGCCTGTATAGGCGGGACCCAAGCCTAACAGAAGTGGGTCTCCCCAGACCAGATACTCAGGGGACTTACCCAAATACCCAAAGTCACTGTCCTGTCTCCAACGGACATCACTTTAGCCACGAAGGCGGCCCCAATGGTCTGCAACGACAGGTTAGAAATTAAAGCCGCAGGTGCAGACTGGCCCTCTCCCACTCGTCTCAGAGGGGCGCAACTCACATTCTGATAGGGCCCCACCAGGAAGCGGTCGTGCACGTATCGTTCCACCAGGCTCGTCTTGCCCACGTTCTCCTTACCCAGCATTACCACCTTGACGTCCACACGCGGCCCGCTCATGCTCCCTGGGCCGCTTCACTCGCGTCAGGGTCCGCTCGGCCCAGGCAGCGCCCAAGCCTCAGACCCCGACCCCCAGTCCTAGCACCTCGGCAGCACTCCGGTCCGTCCCAGCTCTTTAGCCCAGGGCGCCGATTATCTCTCCAATAGCCCAAGAGCGGTGGCAGCTTGGGAGCCCGCAGGCAGTACCCTCCACTGCGCCGCACGCCGCCGTGAACTCGCCGCTAGTCACTCACTCGTCCACCCGCTCGCTTGCTCGCCCGCCCGGTTTAGGTTCCGCTCCGGCCTGGATTCCCAACCGAACCTGGATACCCCGGCAACAACACTCCAATCCGCAACTCCGCGACTCCCGCAGGCGGGGGGAGAGAGAACGAAGGGGCGGGGCGCCTGGTCACGTGGCGTCAGGCGCCGGAAGCGCCGGATACGGCGCTGCCATACTGCGCTGCCGCGCCGGAAGTGGCGCGCGGCCGTATATCTCCTTATGGCGGCGGCAGCGACTTGGGCGCGGCGAGTTGGTGACTGAGCTGCGAACCTGGCGGGCTTGCGCCGACCCCGGCCCGGCCTCTGCGTGCCCTCTGGGCTCCGCTCCCCTGATGCTGCATTGGTACTGAGCTCACCCAGGCCGGGACGATGGTGAAGTATTTCCTGGGCCAGAGCGTGCTCCGAAGTTCTTGGGACCAAGTGTTTGCGGCCTTTTGGCAGCGATACCCGAATCCCTACAGGTAAGTGACCCTGGAAAGAGCAAACTCTCTCCCAGGTTAGCTATCTGAAGATCAGAGTGTGGGTAGTTCCTGAGTAATGAGGCCAGGAAGGACATGACATCCCGTCCGACATGGGGGGATCTCGGGAACCATGGCTGTCTTGAGGTTACGAAGACTTTGTAGGGGAGTCCGGTCTGGCCAGGGATGGGTGCTGACTTACTTGAAGCCCCAGCCTAAGGTTCTCGGGGTGGCGAGACAGGAAGAGGCGGAGGGCAAGCGAACTGAGAGGGATCTTGGGGTTGGAAATACGGTTATTTGCCTACCTGCTTGCGGATGGCGCTCTCCAGTGGTGCAGCAAATCATGAGGTCTACCCCGGCTGGAAGATTCAGGAATTAGGTCAGGGAGGAGTCAGGAGTTGCAGTTTGCCCTGGATGGGTTCAAGGTACTTAATTCTGAACCACAGCAGGGATCACTCTGCAAGATTGCAGGAACGCGTGGCCTGGAGGCTCCAAATGGAAACTCCACTTAGGCAGTCTGTAATGGGCAGGCTTCTGAAAGTCCCCTTCACTCTGAACCCTGCAGCAAACATGTCTTGACTGAAGACATACTACACCGAGAGGTGACCCCTGACCAGAAGCTCCTGTCCCGGAGACTCCTGACCAAGACCAACAGGATGCCCCGCTGGGCAGAGCGACTGTTTCCTGCCAACGTTGCTCACTCAGTGTACATCCTGGAAGACTCTATAGTGGACCCACAGAATCAGACCATGACCACCTTCACCTGGAACATCAACCATGCCCGGCTGATGGTAAGACTTCCCTTGGTCCCCCCAAAAGTAGATTGTTCCTCAGGTGTACAACTAGAGTTCCAAGGGAACTTCTGTGGGTGGCCAGAGACAGGTCTAGATTGCTGAGGAACAGTGGCTACAGGGTACAACCTCAGATTATCTTTGTTGCAGCTAGTCAGCCTCTCTGAACCTGTCCCTTCACCCATACAGTGGGGAAGGGTTACCATTTTACAGAGTTGTTCCAGATACTAAACACAAACAGAAGTGATGCTGAGGGAGTGTTTTCAGATGGGAGTCCATAAAGCCATCAGGTGCTTTGGATGTGCCTCAGGGGTTGAAGCTTTAGGCCCCTTGCCCTATTTTAACTAAAGGAGTTACACATTTTTCTGTCTCACCTAAAGAGATTTTTGGGTGAGATTTAAGGAAAAGGGGTTCTACCTACCTTTGATCTCTTGTGCTTGAAAATGCTTGAAGCTGACAAGGCATGATGGTGCATGCTTGTGATCCCAGCACTTTGGGAGGCTAAAGGAGGAGGATCACATGTTCAAGCCCAGCCTGGGCAATTTTGCAACTTACTGAGACCTTGTCTCGGGAAGAAAAAAAAAAGGGATCAGACTTGTAGTTCAGAGCAAAGGCTCTGCTTCAGTACCAAGGGAGAGTGGAAAAAACAAACCCTTGAAGCCAGGCTTTGTGGTGCATACCTGTGGTGCACTTTCGGAGGCTGAGGCAGAAAGTTTGAGTTTAGCCTGGGCAACTTAGCAATATCTTGTCTCAAAAATTTTTTTAAAGAGGCTGAGGATGTAGCTCAGTTGTAGAATACACTGGATTCCGTTCCCTCTGCCCCAAAAAAGAGAGAAAGGGAAAGAAAAAGGAAAACTTGAGTACCTATGGTTTAAATGTCATTAATATAACACCTTCTCACATGTGAATAGCCTGCTGGCTTTCAGGGAATTCTCTTTCAGCTTATCCTCATAACTTTGAGAGGTGGGTATTACTCAGTTGTCCCAAGAAGAAAATGAGTTTCAGAGTGGGTACATGTTTTACAAAGTTATAGGGTGAGTGCTGCCTTCTGCCTGTGTTATTATACAATGTCATCTCAGATGACCACCTGAGGGCACTGCCTTTGCTTGATAAATTACCAAAATGGTGATCCATTTGTGAGAAATATCTTAAGTGTTCAGGACATAGCCATCTACTTCCTTCTCTCTGATAAGAGCTGGGATGATTATCAGACATCTATCCGTTTTTACTGGGAGTATCAGAAAGGTCCAGAGCTGCAGTGGATGGGAGGCACAGTAAAAATACATGTCTGGACACAGCAGCCCAAAATAAAGCCTAGGGCCTATCAGCCCTTTGCTAATCCCAGGAGACTTTATGCCTTCTGATTTTAAAGGTCAGAAGAAAGGCTTTACAAGACAAAATGCCTTTTTCTTGTGGCTTCCTTGTAAGTGCCACTTGAGGATATAATAGGAAGGAATATGTTTTCATTATTTCCACTTGGGAAAGGAGGCAAAGGACCAGCTGAGTGCAGTGGTGCATACATGCCTGCTACTCCGAATGCTGAGGTAAAGAATCTGGGGCCAGCTGGGGCAGCATAGCAAAGAGGCAGGATCAAGTCTGTGTAAGTTGGCAGAGCAGAAGAAACCCCTGCAATGTGCTTGGCCTGGCTCCCCGCACAGGTGGTGGAGGAACGATGTGTTTACTGTGTGAACTCCGACAACAGTGGCTGGACTGAAATCCGCCGGGAAGCCTGGGTCTCCTCTAGCTTATTTGGTGTCTCCAGAGCTGTCCAGGTGAGCATGTGGTAGGGTAGTTGCAGCTCTAGGACCCAGGGTTTTTGGCATTAAGGCTGGACTAGGGGTCAGTGGGCAGTTCCCAGTCCTTCCCCTCCTCCATCTTTTGCCAGGAATTTGGCCTCGCCCGGTTCAAAAGTAATGTGACCAAGACCATGAAGGGTTTTGAATACATCTTGGCCAAGTTGCAAGGTAAGCTCTGGGCACCGTTGGTGGAACCTCATCCGCGTAGAATCTGGGCCAGACCCTGCTGTGAGCCTGGGACTCCTTGTTTGAAAAGGGTGGGGAGTGCGCATATGGACAATGATTAGGTGGGTCTTCTAGGCATCATCTGAAGCCCCCTGCTCTTTACTGCAGGTGAGTCCCCTTCTAAAACACTTGTTGAGACAGCCAAGGAAGCCAAGGAGAAGGCAAAGGAGACCGCCCTGGCAGCTACAGAGAAGGCCAAAGACCTCGCCAACAAGGCTGCTACCAAGCAGCAGCAGCAACAGCAGCAGTTCGTGTAGCTGGTGTGGGCCCCTGCCACCAGTACCACCACAAGTCACTAGCCAGCGTGGCTCTGCTCCTGCCACCCTCTTCCCATTGTACTTTATTAAAAATCAACTTCCAGCTCTCTGTGCTGTCTGGGTGGTGGGTTGGGCAGGTATCCCATCAGCATCTGCAGTCCACCACAGTATCCGTATCTGAGCCCATCCTGCTTATTCCCCCATTGGGCAGCTGATGACAGATGCAGAGATTTGCCCAAGGTCACGGGCAGAATGCAGGTCAAGTGGTAGTAAATGACAGCCTGTAAGCTCCAAAAGGGCAGGGCTCTTTGTTTTGTTCTCTGTGACCCATGTACCTGGAACAACATCTAGCACATAACAGGCATTCAATAAATATTTGTTGAATTCAGTCAGCCCCAGTTAGAGTCAGAAAGCTTTGGTTTGGATCCAGACTCCTGTTTCTTGGCTGTGAACCTCAGGCAAATCATACCAGTTTGCCTTAGTGCCACCACTATCAAAGTGGAAACAACAGCCTGGAGCTGTGAGGATTAAATGCACACTCCCAGCATAGTGGGTCGTGGTGGGTGCTGAGCTTATTTCACTTCCTCTTTTCCAGTTGTGGCTAGGACTTCTTCTGTTTTTGTCAGGCAAGACCATGGGCAGGAAGTTATGAAAGATCTTTTTAATGAAAATACTGTACAGTATATGGGGTGAAGGCCAGGGGCCTTGTCTAGGAAGGAACATGAGAGTCTGAGAAGCTCCTGCCCCTGTGGGGGCAGCACAAACAAGTGCTATAAAAAATGCTTGTAAGCCCCAAGCTGCCTGCCCTTTGGGGCTCTGGGGTGGCCTGGGTGCCTCCCCCACCCCCACAGGAGGTTCCACCTGGTAGCCAGCAGCAAAGTCCAGGGAGTACCTGTTCCCATGTAAATGTCCTTTAGTCCATTCTGACAGATAAATGGCTCCAAGCAGCCTTCGAGGCTTGGGGAGGGCTCCTGCGCAGCAGGCTCACCCCAGTGTGATCGGAGGGCAGTCGGGGCAGTGAGCATCATAGCCAAGTGCCAGGGTTGTGTGAGTAGCTGTGCTCCTGGCCCGAGCTGAAGCTCCGCAGCAGCTCTGCCTCACCCCCGAACACCAGGCTCTCCACGTCTACCTCCAGCTCCTCTGCACAGGGAGGGTCCAGTCAGAAGCCTGGACCCACCCACATGACCCTTGGGTCTTGAGCTTTGGGGTACTCACCTTGGTCAGAGTCTGAGCGCTCAGAGGAGAGCCCTGAGGAGTCCAGGCTGTCTGCCCGTAGCCGCTCCCGTTCCCCTGCCTTTGGCAGCCCCTGGAGTTGCTCCAGCTGCCGCTGCAGGCACTGCTGTTTACTGAGCAGCTTCTCTTTGAGCCACCGGGCTCTCTGCTCCTGCTCCTCCAACTTCTGCAGAACTCATAAGAGCAGGGGCTGGGGTCAGCAAGTTGGGCCTTGGCCCTCACCCTAATGCCACTTAGCACTGGGCTGTAGCCATGTCATGCCTCTGTCCACTCTAGATGGCTGCCAGGTAAGTCTGTGCCCCACAGAGAGGCTCCATATCCTCTAGCAAGCTGGCCTCTGCCCTTCCACACCCAGAGGTGATCTGTCTAAATCGGCACAGCATTATGCAATCTCAGGTGCCCTCAGACCTTAGTCAAATGATGAAGTGGGGTATAATGGCAGTAAGGACAGGGAATGTGGCACCCTGGAAGATGCATACTCTGGCCCACAGAAGCAACCAGTCAGTTCCTGCAACAGCAACAGGCCTAGCACTGCCAGATCTCCCCATTTTTTTCTTAGAAGCTGGAAAGCTAGATTTTTCAAATGAAATGTCTTTGTGCTGCCAACTAATTTACATTGTTAGAAAACTACAGACTAAACAAAGGCTAGCAGTTTGTAATTCCTAACAAGGATCCTCCCAGGATCCCTAAGGCTTCAGCATTAATCTCTACCCCTTATCCTTCCCCATGCTTTGCCACACCTCTAGTTCAGGGTCTGGAAGGCCAAGAACTCTCCCATGCACAGCCCTCAATAGGCAAAAGGCTGCATTTACTCATTCAACAAGAAGAGGAGAATGGGCTGAGGTGGTACTTGGACAGGGTGTAAAAAGGATGAGTAGGAGCTATATAGACAATGATGGGGGTGCAGCACTAAGAGGGAGCTGGAGAAGCATGGAGAGTTTAGCTTTCTCTGTGTGTTGGTGGGGAAGGGAGCCCCCAAAGCAATTTAGCGATAAGACCTCTGTAGGAGAGGGCATTGAGTTTCACAGGAAGGAAGAGGCAGGCTGTGTCCTATTAGGGATTTCAAATGGAGATGGACCTGGCCAGATTGTGCACAGCAAAGGTCATTCTGGGATGAAGTAGAAAGCAGATCACTGGAAGCCAAACGGAAAGCAAGAAGGCCATGTGTATTACTCCAGGAGAGGAGTGATGGGGCTTCAAGGAAGGAGTGATCCTCAGGTCCTGCCCATGGGCCAGCCAGCGCCTGAGGAGCACATGTCACCCACTGAGAAGCAGGCCAGGCAAGCTCCATTTGCCAACCAGAGTATTCAGCCACAGTGAGGCTGACAATAGGCATCTATGAGACAGGGAAAGTACTTCCCACAGCGTGCTTTGTTGGAAAGTACATGGATCTGTCCCTGTTATGGCCTCTAGTGCCTAAAATGGGGCCTGGCAGAGCAGATGCTCAATAAATATTTGTTTAAGGAAAGGATACAAATCAGGGAACTTGGGCCTGGGTCCTGAGTCTGCCTCTCATCAGGTGTGCCACCTGCCCCTTAGCCCAGCTGTGCCTGCCTCCTTCCCCTGTCAAAAAGGCCAGGAGGAAGGCTGGGGATTTAGTTCAGTAGTTCTGCCTCCTGCCTCGCAAGTGCAAGGTCCCAAGTTCAATCCCCGGTACCAAGAAAAAAGGCCAGGAGGACAGGAAAATTTATTGTTTCCAAGACAACTTCTAATGCCCACATTGCAGGAGCTGCCTGGTCCTTTGGGTTTGCGCAACCACTTCTGTCCACCAGGGGGCGCAGACTTCAGCAAAGCAATTGCAAGAGCCGGTGGAAGAACAGCGACTGGCCTTTCTTCCTTTCGTCTTCTCCCCCTATTTCCCCCCTTCAGTACTGGGGATTGAACCTAGCACCTTTGCACTGAGCTACATCCCCAGCTCTTTTTTATTTTGAGATACACTCTCACTAAATCACTACACTGCCCAAGCTGGGCTTGAACTTGCAGTCCTGCCTCAGCCTCCCAGACTGTTGAGATTACATCATGTGAGTATAATCTCAGCTAAGTGCTAGGTGTGCATCGCCATGTCTGGCTGCAACTGGCTCTTCTCAGTCCTTTCCCCTTCTAATATCTGTAACTGCCTTCCAGAAAAGCATCAGGGCAGATAGCCTAGAACCTGAGGCCTTGAAGGATGGGGGCCAGAGAACAGGGACCGCCCTCTACAATCCACGGGACCTTTACATAAGATGTATCACAGAATCTTTCCTACAGCCCTCCTTTCCCTGCCAAACAGAAGAGGAAATGGAAGTCCAGACAGGCCAAAACGACTTGCCCAAGGTCAAGCAGCTGAGATCTAAGAATAATAGTAATAACAACAACCATTTACAGGGTGAATTCGCTGAAGCCTCAGAATAACACTCTGCTTTTCTTCCCATCCCATAATTTTGGAAATAGTACAGAGAACTCTCCCAAGTCACACAGCTGGTCTATGTGTGGCCCTTTTCCCTAGTTCTACCCAAGCCTTCCATACCACATCCCTCCACACAGCCTGGCAAACTGGCACAGGGTGCAAGGAAGGCCCCTCTTACCTGGATGTGCATCCTTGCTCGGCGAAGCAGGCTCAGTGTGGTGTATCGGACACAGTCAGCCCCCAGGGGCATCTGCTGCTTCAGCTGCTCCAGGCACCGCTTCAGCTGGGCCCTCCTGGGGGGAAGGGTCTGGAGGGCAGTACAAGTCCCAGCTCAAAGGCTAGGGGGATAGCAGAGAAGGGAAGGCCAGAGGGAGGTGGCTTCTGGGGCTTGGTGCTGCAAGGCCTGGTTAGAACTCACCTGCGCTTCTCCAGCTCATTGTGCACAGATCTGCCAATACCAAGGAGGATGAGGTGAGGGGCTGTCAGCTACTGGCCTCACCCTTTGCCCTAGGACCCCCTAAGGCTGCAGGTATTTGCCCTGAACAATCTGCCTGTGAGAACCTTGCTCTGGCCTCAAGCACCAGAGCCCCCATGTAAGGGTGAGAGGAATCAGACACCACACAGAACCAAATGCTGAGTCCTGCCCAGGTGGTTGTAGGGGTCCAAATGGGGTTCCCCTGCCAATCAGGCAACAAAGGCTCCTTGGACAGAAGTCACAGTTGAGCTGAGCACAAAACAAGTTTCCCACAGCGGGTAGTGGAGGGAAAAGCATTCAAACTGGAGGGAAGAGCATAACCAAAGGGTTGATGCACTGAGAGGAAAGAAGAGGGGGAGGTGATGTGTGGACTGTAGGTGTGTGAGTGGAAATGAGACCCAGAACAGTCTTGTTCACACTTCCTAGCACGTGAAAGGTGCCGGAGAAGTCCATGAATGAAAAAAAAAAAAAAAAAAGTGCATGTTTGAGGAGTGGCCAGATGGCAGGGAGTCTGAATGGCTCTCAGAGCAGGGTACCTGATCTAGAAGATGCAAAAAAGGAGGAAGTGAGCGCAGGTCGGGCCTATAAGGGACAACGCCCAGCCCTGTCCCACCACCCCAGATCTCCTCACCGCCCACTGTCCAGTGCACCAGGAGCTTGTGGGGGTCGCTTCCTCCTCCTGTGGATGGGGCCTGGACTGTGGTGGGGGCACAGCGACGCGTAGCCATGCTCTGCCTCTGCCGGAGAGAGTTCCCAGCCCGTGTCAGCCTGGGGCTGGACTCGTCCCAGCAGGAGCCCCTGGCAGGGCATGGTCAGGTTTTGGCTCCAGGATCATCTCCCCAAACCCTCCCTGCCCGACTGTCCGCAGATTCCTCTCCAGTTCGGGGGTGGGGGAAGCGCCCCGGAGTTACTGCCCTAGAGCAATGAATCGTTCCAGTTGGGAGCTAAGGCCAGTGTCAGCGAAGTCGCCGTCCAGGAGTCCCACCCGGATTCTTTCTCACCTCTCTCTCGGCGCTCCAAGAACTCCGCTGCTTGCAGGAGGACCTGGATGTTGCTGGCCACGGGTTCCATGTCGGCGACAACTAACAGCGGGCTGGCCTAGGGTGCGGGCTAGACCAGCGGCTGTACTACTTTTGTTATAATGTAACTGACACAGGGCAACAAATCGGGGTCCGGCCCCGCCCCCAGAACGCCCTCCCGCGGAACGCCCAGCCTTTGCCCCCGCCCTCCGGACCGTGCCGGGAACCACAGCCCACCCTCCGAGTGCCCATCCGCCCGGAGCGGCCTCTGTCTCTCTTCGGCCAGGTACTGGCTCCGGCTCCAGTCTGGCCCTTGGCGATCCCGCGCCCAAGTTGGGGGTTACTGCATCTTTCCCGCTTCGCTTAGCGACCCCGACGGTTCCTTGGCGTCTTTGAGCCTCAGTCTCCAGCTAGTGAGGAGCGCAGAATAGTTAGAACAGCACTTTGGGCCCAAAGCGGTTCCTGGCATTCCCGGTTCGGCCTTGCACAGAGAACCAGGGGGCGGAGCCTGCTGGGGGCCACTCACCCATTAGCGGGTTTTCTCCCTGGGCTTGCTGTCGTCATCTTCCGGGCTGGGCCGAAGAGCCTCTGAGGCACGATTGGCTGGCGCGCGGCCCTGCCTTCTCCCGCTGCTGGTCCACAAGTTCGAGCGGGAAATGAAGCAGGTTTCAAATTTGAAAACGCTGGTGGTGAAGGCGGGGTTGAGCGGGGAACGGGACCGCAGTGCGCAGGCGCCGGCGGAGGGGACGCGGACCCAGCTCCGGAACTCCAGGGTCTGTCCCTACGCCTACCTACCATCTGCACCCCGAGGGTCGGCTCCGGCTGGGCCTCAACTTCCTACTGTGTGGAGGAGGGACACCCCCCGACACACACACGCACAGCAGGAAGCCATTGTTAGCCTGGAGACGTCAGTGGCGAAACAGCTCCCCAAGCCAGGCCGTACCCTGAAGTACGCCTTCTGGCTTTTTAGGAGCCCTGAATTGACTCGAGCAGGTGGGGCTCCTCTCCTGTCACTACTGACTCAATTATGTGTAACTTGGAGGTCTGGCGACGTGGTGGAAAGATCAGAGCCAATCCTATGTAGGGCTCTGGTACGAGGCAACTGCCCCTCTCTAAGGTTAGTGCAAGCAGGCACAAACTTCTTCCTCCTAGGCAGCCTTTCTGGAGAGTGACTTACTCAGAATCCATGAACCCCCCTTTTTTGGGGGGGGGGGTACCGGGGATCGAACTCGGGACTTTGCACTTGCAAGGCAGGCGACAGAAACACTGAGCTAAATCCCTGGCCCTTCCATGAGCCCTTTTTGAAATGACTTTCCTACCCCTCCAGAGCAGTAGCTGCTTACCTTCCTAAGTGGCACACCAGCAGGTTTAGCCACACCTCCAAGACCTGCTAAGCCTGAGACAGAGTAAGCAGGAAATGGGGAGGGGGAGATTCTGTATAAAGAGAGCCCTAGATAAACACAGGCACAAGTCAGTCAGGCCTTGGAGGTTCTTTAGGTCTTTAAGTCACCGCCAGAGGATTCACCTGTCCACTCACTCAAGAAATATTTTATTACTTTGGCATGCCCTCACAGGAAAGAGTACTGAGGGCACATCCTAAGGAACATTTTTATCTAATCAAGGAGGTCAGAGGAGGTTTGGCTGGAGAAATACAATATGTAATCTATGTACAGGACGGAAGAAAGAGAATTTCAGACAAAAAAAGAGCATGTGGAAAGGTCCCTGGGGTTGAAAGGTACCTCAGACTCCCATGTGCAATCAGTTAAGAAGCAGACACGGGGCGGGGCGGGGGATTTAGCTCAGTGGTTTCGCCACCTGCTGTGCAAGAGCAAAGACCCAAGTTCAATCTCCGGTACCAAAAAAAAAGAAGCAGTCACAAGGCTTTTGAATGTGTTTCCAATTTTATTTCACTAGCAAAAGCACCCACACAGTCCAGGCACAAACCTAGTTGACATCTGGGACCCATGTCACCTGATCTTAGACTCAGGGTACTGTGGCAGCGAAGAGGTTCTTAGAGGAAAGTTCCCAGCACAGGGAGGGAATAAGGCAAGGAAAGTGAAGGCAGGGGCTTCAAGGGGGGCTGTGTGACCACATTGAGGACTTGGGGCTTTGCTCTAAGAGCCAAGAGGAAGATTCCAGCTAGAAAACCATAGACCTGGACATTGTCCAGCCTCATCCCTGGGCTCCTGCCCCAGTCTCTCCCACATTACTCATCCTCTCCTCTTCCCAGAGAGTAGCATTCCTTAGTCATAGAGCAACCCAGGTCTCTGTTCAAAATGTTTCAGGTTCCAAAAGTAGGGGTGGTCTAAACATGTGCCTTCACTCTTTGAGCTATCTGGTATAACTAAGCTAAGAGACCATATCATCTCTTGGTCAGAGCATCTTTCAAGGTGTTCTTGGATTTTTCTCATTGCATAATCCACTTATTCATTCCTTTACTCTCAGCTTCTATTATTCTTCCTTTTTGTTTGTACCCCAAATTTTCCACCTTTGAAAGGAGCATGAGGTTTGGCCACTGTGCTAGTCCTGATTGCTGGTAGTACTACCAGCTTAGCTAGCACCTCCCTCTCAGCCCATCATATGCAGATGGGGAAGCTACCTGGGTACACACCAGTGGGCTGTCTCCACCCTGAAGCAAAACAGTAGACTCACTGTTGACCCCAGTTTGTTTGTGTTTGTTTTGTTTTGTTTTTCTGTACTGGGGACTGAACCCAGGGCCTTCACCCTGAGCTACATCCCCAGCCCTTCTTATTTTTTTATTTTTTGGTACTGGGGATCGAACTTGGGTCCTTGCGCTTGCAGGGCAGGTGGCAGAACCACTGAGCTAAATCCCCGGCGCCCCCCTTTTTATTTTTTAAGACCGGGTCTCAATAAGTTGCTAAATTGCCCAGACTGGGTTTGAACTTGTGATCCTCCTGCCTCAGTCTCCTGAATACCTGGGATTACAGATGTGCATCACCATATCTGGCTTTGACCCCAATTTTGGCAGATGGAGTGAAGGTTCAACCACCCCATCAGGCCCTTAAGAATTTGAACATAAAGGATTAAAGATACACCCTCTCTTACTTAGGGGTCATTACTACTTCTGCCACTTGCAATTGAACCTTTGTCTTATGTCCCCTATACTGGGTAGGAAAAAAGCTAAGGTGGGACAGGGTGGGGGATAAAAAGTATCATCAGGTCAGCATCCTCTCGTACCCCCTCCACCCCAGATCCACCAGAGAAGCACAGGAATCCACCAAGGAGGGACCCTCTCTGAGCCCCCTCATGTTGAGTGTGAGCCCATGGTTGTGGAGGTGTGCAACCAGTCCTCCCAGCCTTTATCTCCACCGACTTTAGTCAACTAGTATTCCCCTTGGCTGTTTTTCATGAAACCATTGCTTTGAAAACAATGCTTTGCCCGGTGTTGGACATTATGGGCTGTAGAATGTGTGCCTTGGTCTGAAGAAGAGTGACTCAGGACATTTCCAAATTGGTGCTATATCTTCCATTCTCATCCTTTTATTTATTTTTTCTTTCAGTACTGATGATTGAACCCAGGTCTTTTGTACTGAGCTACATCCCCAACATCCCCCCCCCCCGCAATTATGGCTTGTAGAAGTCCCCCCAAAGCCTCATGCAGTCCTAGGTGAGGCTTTTTCAGAGGTGGCTGAATCTAGAGTGTGTGATGCTGGAATTGATTCATGGTGAGATGATAGGATCAAGGGACCTGGAATTAAGGGCATGAGTGCTACCTTCCCTAAGTAGCCTGGATAAGATACCAGGGATAGAAAGAGCTGTGGTCGTCCCTTGTTTGCTTTTGCTGTCTTCTGCATGCAATGAATGTTTCTCCTCTGTGGTGCCCCTCTGCCATATTCCAACCTGCCTTGGAACCAGCCAACTATTGACTAAAACTCTACGAACTGTATCCCAAATAAACATTTCCCTCTTTAACTTTGGGTGCTGGGTATTTTGTCTCAGCAATGAGAGAAAAGTAACTAAGACACCACCCCAGCCCCCTTTGAGATAGCATCGTCCTGGTCATTGAGCTTCCCAGGCTGGGCTCAAAATTATGATCCTCCTACATCAGCCTCCCAGAGTGCTGGGCTTACAGGCATGCACCACCATGTCTGGCCCATCCTCATCCTTTTACTGTGCTCCGAGCTCTTCTAGGGTAAACTAGGGCTGGTTCAGAGTGACTGTCTTCTTCTGCCAGGACCTATCCACAGCCTCCAGGGGTGACAGGCACCAGTCTGACTTGCCAGATACATGCGGGGGCCTTCCACCAGGAGTGTGCCTCACAGCCTGTCTCTCTCTACCTCAGAGGATGTGAGAGGAACATGCCTTGACTCAGCTGCCTCTGCACTGATGCAGCCCCACTCCACATTTCATGGGGCCAGGCAGCCAGCTTATGCGAGTAACCAGAATATCTGCCCCTCACTCTAAACATCTTCTGATCCCAGAATGTGGGTCTTCTGATGGCATCAATATGACCCTCCTTTAGAACATCCACGAGTTCCCATGGTGAGTCCCATAGGTTTGTTCCCCATCCGGGCATCCTGTCAACAGGCCACTTGCCCACTGTCCTCTGCCTGACCATAGGGCAGCCATTGGCTACTGCTCCTGAGTCAATGGAAACCCAAATGTAGAGGCAAATGGCATGCAATTCCCAGCTGCTTTGCTGTTACTTTCTTCGTTCAGAGTGGTAGCATTCCAAACAGGAAGCTGGCTTGTCACCTGAAAACTTCCATCCTTAAATTAAACAGTATTTGGGGCTGGGGATTTAGCTCAGTGGCACCATGCCTGCCTTGTAAGCACAAGGTTCTGAGTTCAATGCCCGGTATCAAAAAACAAAAAAAAAGCAGTGTTTTGTTGGTCAATAAGAGCTGTTTATAGGGCACTTCCCAAATGGCCCGATGGGCCAATGGGCCACAGGACTCAGATGCTCACAGGTGATTCCCAAGTTCCCAGCTTAGGATACCTCATCAGCCCCCACCCCGTGCATGTTCCTGTGCAAACTATTTTATTTTATTGTGGACTAATTGGTGAATGCCCCTTCCTCACCTGAGCATTTCTCCAACATCATCCTAGACACTGTGAGTATTTCAGATGCCAAGGTCATGTTATGTCTTTAAGTCATAGGTGCAATCTCAAAATTACTATGTCTCTTGTTCTGGTCCCCAATCCCAACAGTTGCCACTCACAAGCTTTGCCATAAACTCCAGTCAGCACTCCACAAAGGTTCATTGTGTAGCAAATGAGCAGCCTGCGTGACTTTGGCAAGCTCACTCCCATCCAGTGAATCTTGTCAATGTTGGCAGATTTCATTGCCTGCTATGTTACCACGCTAGGTAGAGGAAGTTCCCCACGCTGGCCCAATGTCCATCCTCATGATGCACACAGGGTTTTTTGTTTGTTTGCTTTGGTTTTTTTGTTTGTTTGGTTTTTTTTAAGAGACAGTGTCTTGCTCAGTTGCCTAGGCTGGGCTTGAACTTGCAGTCTCCTGCCTCAGCCTCCCAGAGTACTGAGATTACAAGCATGTGCCACCATGCCCAGCTATTCATCCCATTTCTTAATAACCATTTAAAGATGTCCATATGCTGTAATGAGTCCCTCAACTATTTCCTTTGTTCATCCCCATTGTCCTGTGAATCATTTCATCTACACTGTTGTATCAGGATCATTTTCCCCCTTGATAGTGGCCCAAGATCCAGCTTGGCC